AAAGCTCCACAGGCTACCTCATACACTGTCCAAGGGGCATCTGAATTGAAGGGCTCAATAACTTCAGGATACTGTCTGCTCTGCCTGTCTCCCAAGCCTAACTGACCATGGCTGTTGCCACCCCAAGAATAACAAACAAGATCACTCCCTTTGTAACCTTCCCCAGCAGTGACTAATGCCACAACATGCTCATTTCCACATGCCACTTTAACAACTGTGTGTCCATGGAAATTCCAGATAGGTATTGGGCTGCAACTGCTAGTAAGAGAGAATTCACTCTCAATAGACTTGTCTTTCTGTGGTTCAGGAAAGTTACCCCACATCCATAGAGATCCAAGATCATCAATTGCTGCTGACATCATTCCGCCACCTTTAACCGAGGAAATCTACAGGAGAAAACAGAATTAGACCTTGAATTTCAACGTATTTCCTCATTAATTTCAACTTGTTCGTACCATCAGTTTCTTTCTCTCTGAGCCACTAGCTGATGAATTAGGGGAACCTAACTCAAGGAATCCCTCCAATAAATGAGGAACCAAGGAATTTTCTCCATCAAAACCAAGTTGTCCATCCACAAGGTAGTCAAGGAAAAGAATGATTAATAGCACATGCACAAGACAATTGCAATTTTATAAGTTCAAGCAAATAATACTAAATGTATAAATCAAGGGATCTCTCAAGGATACAGACATTGTATCCCCAGCCCCATACTGATCCATCATCTGCGAAAACAAAGAAAAGTAAAAAAAAAAAAGAAGAGGAAGGGAAACAGTGTCTGGGAGTTCAAGATAATTAACGTTGTTCCTTGTAAACAACATTCTTGCTCTTCTTAGTATCAGCATTCTTAATAAGCCAAAAATTGTAACTACCTGAAAATGTTATTGTTACACCTTCACATATAAGAACAAATCTCATGGTTTCATAATTTTAGCATCTTGGATAAAGCAAGCAAATAATCAGAAGATGAGGGCATAGTGTTCTGAGAAAATTGTCTTAAAATATAAATGCTCTCAATTCCCCACTGTATCACTGATGAACATTCACAGAGATCTTACCTGCCTGTAGCTGTAGAAAAGAACGAAAGCGAATCATTGCAAACAGCAATACCCTTGAAAGCCAAAAATTCTGTTACCTGATTTCTTTTCCCTTGCTGCTCCCGTCATTCTAAACATGACAGGAAGCACTCTTTGGTGTTACTCCAATTAAGATCACCTTATCTTCGGAATGACATGACATCATATTGAATCACCCTCTCTTCGTTTGACTAGGAAACACTTAGCCAATTTGAGTCTTTAAAGAAGAGTGAACTCGATTGAAACCTCCAATAGGGATTAGATAGTTAGATTAAATCCATAGGCCATGTCAACTTACCTAATATGTAAATCTTTTCAGTTTAAGGAACACGAGTGAGTTAGCAGCTATCTACCTAATTCATGGTAGAAACCTTGAATACTCTAATACTAATCCCTTCGTCTAAATTTATGTTATAATGTTTCACTGGACAAAGAGTTTAAAAAACTAAAGAAGACTTTTGACATGATAATTACATGCCAATAATATCATTTTAAATGAGTAGCGGTGAGAATTCTGTCTTTTCATTTTATGGTGGTAAGGGTTTAATGTGTCATCTCATAAAGAATTAAATGATACTGTGAAAGATAAAACACAATTCTTTCATCTGTATTCCAAACTGATATAGTATTAATGGAAGAGCGCCAACTCTGATCCACTAATAGATTATTGAGTTGTGGTAAATGGTAACACAGGGCCATATTAACTATGCCCCGTGTTCGGTAGAACTCATAACTATCTGCTCGATCCTCTATATATACCTATATGTGTATGTTAAAAGCAAGTACAGATAAAACTAGGTAAATTTAAAAACCACACACGTAATTCAGAACCGACATCTAGTCTAAAATGTAGATCCACCACTACATCTATGCACATTTCATAGATCAAATGAACTTATTCTGAAAGAATACACAAATAGCAAATTGTAGAAGATGGGCCTTAACAATCCCATGGCTTTTATATCTAGAAGCAACAAGAAAGTTCAATTTCAATCTAGTGACAAATGAAATGGGGATAGCCAACCTAAATCACATTTCCACAGAGATGAACTTCAAGATTTCATTTCCCAATCAAATAATTTTTAGAAAAAGCAAAAGTTGGAACAAATTGAAATCATTTCAAATGGTTAACCTGAAACGGCAAGACTGTGATAAGCACCAGCTGCAATAGCAACAATCTTTACCCTTTTATCTCCATCAGAATCAAAGTTGATTCGGGCAGGGAATAAGTGGTCAGTTTCAGAAGCAGTACCAAGTCGACCGAATGTTCCTCTTCCCCAAGAATAGACATCCCCATTTGCTACCATTTGCAAAAAAATTTAAATTTTGAGATAATATTGGTTTAAGAATAAAAGGGTAAGTTGAAAAGATGTTTGTTTACCAGTTAGAGCAAGTGTATGAGCTTCGCCGGCGGCAAGTGCTATGATTTTATTAAACAAGTTGCCGGATCCTGATTCTGATGATTCCACTTCCTCCGCCATTTCTTCTCCTCAACAGGATATCACTCTGTTTTTATCTCTGATTTTTGGGCAATGATTTGTTACTCCCATACTTCCAAATATGGGACTCAAATTACTTTATTCAAATACTCATTTTACTAATTTTGAATATTTCACTTGAAAAATTAAAACTTAAAAGTTATTAATTTTTTTTTGAAACACTAAAAAGGACGCAAGATAAACGTATTGAATCAAAAAGATTATTTAATATATGTGTAAAATTTAATATTTCTAAACTTGATTTTCTATCTATAAGAATTGTGGTGGAGTGATGAATACTCATTTAGAAATTTAGATTCGAGTCCTTCTGAGTGTGGTAAATACTCATTAGGAAGTGCGATGAGATAAAAAAACTTGATTTTAAAAAAAAGTATGGATAATTTTATATAAATTTAAATATCTACTTGTGTATACACAATATTGAAAGACATGAATATCAGCTCAGATCAAGTTAAATAATTCGTATTATGCCCAAAATATTTCTCATTCAAGCTTTTTATGTCTCACTCCTTTAATATTATGGTTATGTTAAGCACTTGTCAATAGAGGCCATTGGCCTTAGGAGTCACGATAATTTATTCAATTAAATCTTTCCTTTCCATTTCTAAAGATTTTAATTACAATATCTAAGTCATAATGTTTTGGACAATTTTGTTTTTTTCAAAATAAATAAAGAGGAGGAGATAAAAGAATAAGACTGATAAGTGATAAGGATGATGTAATTTTTTGGAAGTAGATGATACTGACACGGGAATTAAGGAATTTAGAATATTATTTAATTAATGTGTGAATATGGCATAAGGACACGAAGAAGTATAGTTGATTAGATACAATAATTTATATTCATTTTTACAGTAATTAAGATTGAATTTAGGATTTCACGTAAGATAAAGTCGAACTTGATAATTACACAAGACGTACGGGATTCATCTTCTATCTAATGTTAATTTAGGATTTAAATATATTTTTCATTAAATTTCTGGTTTAAATATATAAGTATTCCTCGCATTATATTTTGATATAATATCTTTAATTTTGACGAAAAAAATATGTGGCAACTTTAAATTTTCCAATATTAAATATCCGATTACTTTATAAATCCACTTATTTAACAAATTTCCTCCACTCCGAGTTCTTTATCTATTCTTTTAATGAAAATGTTTCATCATCAAGGAGAAAAAGTTCCTTATCTTTTTGTTTTATAAATTGGAGATGCAATTAATATAGGTGTCCACTTAACCGAGCGAATCGACTAAAATTGAACCAAAACAGCACAAGTGGGTCATCAAGGCCAAATCAAACAAAAAGAAATGCAACGAAAAACTCAAAATATAACGAGAGTACTATAAATTCACAAGTAACAATACGACCAATATATAAGACCACAACTAAACAAGACATACAATAGATTATTTTTACAAGTCTATAAGATGAAAAACGGTTGGGAAAGGCAAGCACAAAATATATGTGGACGATAGGGCAATAGCGGAAGAAAACTCAAGTCAAAACTTTTTCTTCTATTTGAACCAAGAGAAGATAAAATAATGCAAGAAAAAACATTGTTTGAGGCACCAAACAAATCAACCGAAGCAAGCAAAATAAATTAACACACGAGAGGTCAAGTTTAACGTGGAAAGCCTCTTTGGTATGAAGAGTAAAAACTACAAAGCCACAGCTCCACTAATATCAACAAGAGTTACAAAAGTGTTCTCCAAAATGACCACCAACAAAGTGCCAAAAAATGAGCAACACAACTACAAGATATATAGCACCAAAAACTAGAGAAACAAAAGGAGTAAAATCACCAAAACACAGCTACTGTTCACGAGCTAAATCTGGAGCTATAGGACTCTAAATCACCCTCTCTCAGTTTCCAATCATAGATTAAGTTGAAAGGAACAAGCTGTCCAAAAATCTGCTCAATCGAACAAGCAACAAAGCGAGAATTGCGATTTGAAATTGGCTACTAGGGCTTGTACGAAAATGTGCACTCTCTCACTTTTCTCTAAATGGCTGCCGATCTATCTCTTGTGATTCTTCCAAAATAAGACCTAACAAAAAAGTCTTACATATGCACAATAATAGTAGGCTTATGGACAAAGTGGGCTAAATTTATCCACAAAGAAAAGGAAAGAGATCCAAAACCTTAAACTTTTATTTATCTACACAGGAAGGGAAAAAGACCCAAAACCCAACAAAAACTACTAACATCTAGTCCAGCCATGACTCCGACATACCCATTAACTATACAAAACAAAAAGAAGACTCCAAACTCATCAACTCCGGAAGAAATAGAATGTACCAATCATCAGATGGACTCAACCACATGCAACAAGGACATACATGTCTACTTGATAAGTGAATGCAGCGCCTCCAAACAATGGTCAGTACTACTAAAATTCAACGAGGATTCAAATAGAGCACCAAATTTAGAATGTCTTTAGATACGCTGCTGCTTGAATATATATACATACTTTTGTAGTTATATATAATTAACACAACATTACAAGTCAACTGATCATCAAACCCTAAAATAATTATCGAAAGGGCCTAACTCCCACAATGGCTTTGCCTATCTTCCCCTTGCATATCATCATAAGCAGATAAATTCAAATACTTGTCTTGTTGCTCAGAATTAGCCCTCACATCCCTCCATCTTGCTCTGCATATCACACACTTAATTGATCTTCTTCTGTTACTTCTCTTCCATGCCATCAAACATTCTTCATGTAATGGATTCCTACAAGTCCCACAAGCTGCTACTCTTTCTTCCTTGTTCATTTCTTCCAAACATATTGGACATGTTACACCCTTCTCTATCTCTATTTTCAACGGTGAACATTTTGACCGTTCTTGAAAAAATAACTGGTGAAACCTGTTGAGACATAACATAATTAAAAAATTAGAACTATGCACGCTATTAATTGCTAATTGCTTAAATTTTTTGATGATATGATCACATACTATAATTTGATATGGAATTATAGCAAATAAAAGAAGGGAAGTCTTAGAGTAATAGTAAAATTTATCCGTGTGGTGTGACCTATAATTAGTTACGTCACTACTAAAAAAATGCAATTTTGCAATGGACGTTCCTATCAAAATAGAGTCGAAAATATGGGATTTTCCATGGGAAGTCTGTTGAAAATGTTGTTGATGAGGCAATTTCATATGAATATTCATATGTTTTTGGTTCGAGTCCTGAAATTAGTCACTGATTTTTGCGTCAGGACAAATTGCTTGCATTGCACCCCCTTAGTGTGTGATCATTCCCCGAAATCCTGCATGAACATGAAATGCATGCTTTGTGTACTCGACTTCCCTTTTATTAAAACAGACAATATAGGTCCTAAAGTTGATAAATCTCACTTCAAAAGAAAAAAAAACATTCACGTATTTGGTCCATGAAAAAGAAACATGCCTAGACAGCATGATAGACCCGTTGAGACATAATATAATTAAATAATTAAAAATTCTGCTCCTGCATGTCTAACCTTTCTCGAACATTAGGGTTTGCTAGTGATTCAATTGAGATAGGTAAGCTAAGAAGGCGTTGGAGCTCGCATGGCCTGAGAGTTCGCCGGAGAAGACACATGTCATCAACTGAGACACCCAATACACGGATGAACACGAATAGTATGTGTTTACATGGGGCGGTTCGATCAGGGCAACTGCATGATGGGGTGGTGGAGAGGTTAACAGTGTATACATTTCCAGTTGCACCTAAGATAAAGAAAGTGGTGTCGTAGTGGTGGAGGAGGCGGAGATGGTGGCTGACTGCACGGATAATTCTGTCGGCGAGTGGTTGTGTTGGCATCAAATGGCGGCGATGGTGGTGGTGGTGGTGGTTGTTGGAAGGGGTGGAACTAGATCCAATGGATTCCATTTTTGGAAAGTTATAGAAAAGTAATTATGGAATTTGGATTTGGTATATTTTGTAGGAAAAGGAAAAGTGAAAAGTGTGATAAAGATATATTCTTTGTAGAGTTGTGAGGAAAAGTTAGGGTTATACGTATCAGATACCTTTGACTTGGTTCTTTCTATTTCTGTTAAAGGCACGTCATGTATGTACCAAATCCAAAAGGAAAACATGACTTGTAACTTTTCTTGTAGTGAAATTAATAGTGGATCAATAAAGTAGAAACTTAAAATTGTTATGTGGAAACTTAGAATTAAAAAGTTACAAAAATAAGATATTTGGGATGACTCAGTTGGTTTGGAGGGTGGTTATCTATACGAATGATCTGAGATTAATAAGCCCTCAATGCATTCTGTTGGGATATATACTCTTAACTATATGTTTAGATATAGTATTTATTATAGAATAATTATTTATTCAGTTTTAATAGACCATATTCGTTTATGGTGTCTGTTTACTTATATAGTAGATGATTTAGTGTATAGAGTTTTAGATTATACACATAAGATTAAATCATCGGTTTTTATAAGTATAATTTTTTTTTCACAATCTAAGATGGAAATCGGACATGTCATCGGTACAATTGTAGCACAAGATTATATGTAGTTTATCTTGATTATGGGAATGATACAGTTCCAACTTCTTGGGCTAGTACATTTTGTATAATGTATTTAACGGGACCGAGTAGAAATAATTGCTTTAGACTGACTCACAAAAGCATATTCTCTAAACTATTAAATGTGCTTATATTCTTAATCCTGATATAACTATTATGATCTGTATATGTTAATTATCGTTTTGATCTATTAAAAGGTGAGATTCTGAGATGGGTCAATATACCTGGTAGTTTGGGTGATAATAATATATATTGGTGAAATAATAAGTTAATTGACTGAATCCATGTCTCGATATAGAGATTGATGATATACCTTTTTGAGAAGCTTATAAGTTTTCATCGTGTCAAACCTTACAAGTGGATTTATGAATCCGACACATGAAATAAGTTAAGCAACGCTCTAAAGGAAACTAGTATTTGAATTCAATTCGTCAGTAATTTAATTTATTGATTAATTCTTAACATGGGGAATTACATGTGTTTAATGGGGAATTTCGAAATATAAGTGCAATTACGAATTTCTAGTGGAATGATTTATAATTTATCATGGTAATAATTAATTATGTGGTTCCTACCGTGTTCATATTTAACTAGAACTCAGAATCTATTCTAAGGGGAAAAGAGAGAAGTATGTGTCTTTCTCTATTTTAAGGAAAGAGAGAAGTACATATCTTTTTCTATTCTAAGGAAAATGAGAAGTACATGACTTTTTCTATTCTAAGGAAAGAGAGAAGTATGTGTCTTTTTCTATTCTAAGGAAATAGAGAAGTACATGTCTTTTTCTATTCTAAAGAAAGACATGGTGTTCCTTCTCCTCCTTTGACTAGGAAAAAATCTCTATAAATAAGGATTCTTCTAACCCTTGAAAGTGAAGTTTTATATACGATGATTGCCCACCCAAGTATTGAGAGAGTTTGGAAGTGAACTTGGGATCAATGTAAAAGACTGCAGAACTGCCGTCCAATTTGTGGACTAGCTTGTGGATTCGCTTGAAGGTACCTGCTCACGCTTCAAGAGGTAATCCTTGAATTAATTTTTAGGAAGTTTTATGTGCTCTAGCATGATTGTATGTGTTCTAGCACAAACATATGTGTTGTCTATTATTCATGTAAGAAGTATGATTCTGGTATGCTTTTTTTTAGCACAAACATATGTGGAACCGTAAAATAGTTGCATTTAAAAAAAAGAGAAGATAATTGATTTAACATACTTGATCAAGCTAGCGTTGCAATCTAAAACAATTAGAAATAATACTTTACTATTATCCGTGCATCGTGCGGGCACATATACTATAGTTTTATATTAAAAGTTACAAATTTTACTAACTTATTTTAATATATATGGGTCAAGTGGTATAGGGTATTAAATAAAGTAAATTAAAGACTTGACCCATTAACCACCAACTAAATAAATTAATTATTTAATAAATATTCATCAATTAAATGACCGTAGTTATCAAATAGTTTACAATTACCAAATCGACTTCACCGACTGATTCAAATTTGACTGGGAAAACTATCAGGAGGAATAAAACGATAGTTTTTTAATGAAAATTTCCAAAAATGATCTTTCGGCTCATTACATAGAGAATACATACTTAAGAGAGTAATTTGAATTCCTTACAACCAAGCTCGTCTCATTGAAAATAATAATATTGATAATATTTGAGTTCGAGTTGAACCAGTACCGTGAGTGATACTAATAATTGCACAATGAGTATATGATTGATATAGTTTAAGTTATATATACGTTGCCAATAGTAGAAGAAATTTATTTTATTTTTCTTATTTGATTGCACTAAATATGTAAAATATTTTAAAGAGAATAATAGAAAATATGAACTATTTCAAATTCTTTTTTTTTGGATTCATAAATCTTATATTTCATGTAGTTTATGATATTATTACACTCACCATATTTATTTTTGGTTTAATTATTTTTCTAATGATTCAGATACTGCATCAATGTAAAAATGAAAAAAAAAAAAGTAATGAGAAGGTTTTCTTAAATTGTGTATTGAAGAAGATAATATATTCTAAAGCAAGGGCATATATGCCATTTTAGTATTAAAAAGAAATAGGAGATAAATTGTTTTATTTGACCAAAAAGAATTTTGGCAAAATAAAAAAAAATAAAATGAAAAGAAAAGGCTGCAACCTAGCAACAAAAGAAAGAAAATAAAAGAGAAGTCCTAACCCTATTTGGAGTCTTTGTTGAAGGAAGCTGCCGCAACTATTTGTGAAGATCGAGAAGGAGAACGAAACTCGTGGGTCTGTCTTTCCATTCGAGTGAAGCTAAAGGTGTTGAAAAATATTTTAATAGGAGAAATAGAAGTGGAAGGTAACTTTCTGAACTTAACTTAAAGATTTATATTTGTAAATTTCATGACTATAGAATTGGAATTGTAAGTTTAAGAAAATAAGGGATAAAGAGATAGATGAATCTATTAAATTCTTGAAATTCGAGTGGGTACATTCAGTGGCGGAGCTAGAATTTTATCAAGACTGTTTAAGATTTTTTTTCTGATAAGTGAACTGAATGTTATTTGTTTAACCTAGGGATTCTACCATGAACGATCCCAACATTTGTCAATATCAAATACAAACAATCGGTTTTTTTTTTCTTTTTGATGCATTGATTTTATATGATAAAAATATATGATTATTGTATGTAAAGTAAAATATTGATTGAACAAACATAGGCGTATCTAGGATTTTGAGATGATGGGTGCACTAATATAAAAAGGTTGATCTATGATATAAATTTGATCGATTTGACATTTAGGTTTTTACTATTGAAAACTGTTAAAATTTTAAAATTATAGGTCTAAAATTAATTCTTATAAATATGTATTTATATATATATATACATACACACACCAATTACCACTTAGAAAAGTGTTATCTAATATAAGAAAGAAAAATACAACAAGATAAATATAAAATTCAAATTTCTAACCTCGCCGAGAGAGGTGCACCCAGTCATAATCGCATTATGTGATACTTTAAGTGTGGATTCACACATCTATATCTCAATATTTTTTAAAAATATAACACTACTATATATGACCTTAGAAGGGGACCATGGGTTTATATGAACTTGGTGACCTTCCTTAGATACAACTCTGTGAACAAATGTGTCTACTTTACGAAACATAAATCACACCATCAGAGAATTCTTTTTTCTTAAATTTACTGATATAGCCCTTGCTAGTGGGAAGGTAAAACTTGCATATTGTAACCGATATCCCTCATGTACGAATGTACTGATATGAATATTTGACTCCTTTTGAGGATTTCACTGTTATTGGTTACTTCTTAAAGAAGAAGGTCACAATGATTAAATGATTCGTTCTTAAAAACCTCTCAATTATAAGATTGAAATGAATGTATTTTTAAGAGTTTACTATTAAATGTTTACATTGATTTTGCTTATATGAGACATATAAGATTGAATATGGTTATTGTTTCCTTTAAAAAGACATTTATTACATGATTCTGATTATCTAACTAGCATGTTTTTTGACTTGTCCCTCATTAAAAGGGTTGTGGTTAAGTGTTATTACTCAGTGAGCTAGCGTCTCACTCCTTCCTAAAGGTTTTTACGTAGAACTCAACTGATATTAACGAGGATTTCATTAACTAGAGAGTGTTAATTAGTATAATCTAGTGAGTCGGGTAACATCGCGTAGCAAGATATTTACAGAATTGCTCTGATTTCTTTTATTTCAAAAATCTTAGAATAGCTCCATTTGTCCTTTCCTTTATTAGAGTCATGATTATCACTTCGTTTTGTAGTCATGGGATTTCCTTGAACTTCTTTTTATTATTGGAGATGATTTGGTATTTTTGTGTTGCGATTAAATTATCGATGGGTATTATGTCTGGTTTGAGAGTTGTTATTAGTTGTGTTGTTGATTTCTGAGACAAGAAAAATTAGGATAAGCCCAAAAATAAAGGAAACTCTGCCTGATTTTCTGTAGAATTTTGGTAAGACTTGCTTTGGAATTCTCTCACTTAGCGCCGCTCATCATCCTAAATTGGGTAGTGACAAAATAAGCATGTGAGATATTTTAAATCTCATACGATGATATAAAGCTAACAGTAAAATAGTTTCTTAAATTGATAAATATCTATAGTCGTGATTGTTCTCTATTTATTATAGGAAAATGTCTTTTTTTTAATTTGTTTGTTATGGATGGTTTTAGTATAAGTTGTTCTTTGGTCGTTGCACATGCATGCCTAGTATGTTAATATACTATTTTATAGAATAATATTAGTAATAAATGTCTAACAGAATATCGTCACTCAACCCATATATTTCAAAACCAACTACTTTTTCCGTCCTAATCTGTTTCATTTGAAT